GTGATGATTATTTTTTTCTTCATATTTTCGGTTTGCTGGGCCGGTGGCAAAACACTGGCCCACACACACAGACACGCACACACAATCAATCAATCAGTTTGATTGATTGATTGATTGGTTGATTGATTATGTGTGTGTGTGTGTGTGTGTGTGTGTCTGTGTGTGTGTGTGTGTGTGTATTATAATACGAAACCCCCACGTGAGCAGACGTGGTGTGCTGCACAGAAAAAGCACATCAAGGTTGATCAACCAACACACCAGGAAATAAATCGTCCACTTCATATGGCATGACCAAAACAAGTAAACAAAGAGAAGATGAATACCCTACTGTTGAAGCCAAAGAAACTAGCGCATAAGGAGGAGGCAAGGAAGAACAAATAGGAGGTAATAGTACACATTGAGAAGACGTACGAGGCAAATAAACGACACGCAACAACAAAACACATAGGCTGGAGGGCACGGGGGAGGCGGGCGGGCACAAAAACACGATAGGACAAGGCAAAGACAGTGAACTGAGAAACAAGTAGCACCGWCGGATAWCGGYAAACCGAAAAAAATACAAGTCCCAAATAAGTCGAAGGACCGAAAACAATAGAAACTGATGATAACAAGATTGTTTYGTCRGAATTGCACCGACTCATCATGAGGCTGAACCCTCGACAATCTGCGGAATCCCCGTATTTGATGGTTTGGGTCATGAACCCTTTGACCCTTGTTGAAGGCAGACTGTCCCCAAGAGGAACAAGCAACGGGCARCAACCCTGTGAAGCACCAGGCAAGAAAGTAGAGGCAACACGGCTGCACAACGCCAAAAATGACTACAAGGAACGACATGGCAAGCAGCGCGRCAGCCGTGTAGTGAAGCACAAGGCAACACAAGCAAGGCAACAACACTACAGGGGACGACAGGGCGAGTGAACTAGTAGCTAGGCAACCGTGGAGCGGAGCACAARSCACCAGCAACAAGGCAACCAACCTACAGGGCACAAAAGCGGCAAGCACGGAAGGCACGGCCAACGGATGAGCAGCACGGCAGCGGAGCAGCGAAGCGCAAGGCAACACCAACAACACGGCCACACCTCATACTGAACACATTAACCTGCAAAGAACYACACGCGAAGCCAGCARGATAGGCAGCGACGCAGCGGTGGAGCGCAGACGAGGACGTCCACATATCGAACACAAAGCAAACCAGCACATGACCTACTCACATCACGATTGAACTTCGCACACTGTTGGTTCCCACCACCCACTGAGCCAGAGAGTCACTCCGACGAATATCCGTCATTACCAACAGGCAACACAGACATCCAACATAGACATCCCGAACCGAGCAGCCCCCATAAGAGTGCAGTAGGCACTCCAAAAGAGGAACTACCGACTCTTTGGCACTACTTAAGGGTGCTCAGTTCGGCACAAAAAAAAAAAGTTAGAAAAAATCAAGGGAAGAACAGACAACAAAAAAAAGACTGACAAACATAAAACTGATTGTTTGTTCTTTAACACAGTCCCCAAAGGATATTAGTATTCCAAGGTACCTTTTTGCCTCTGTGTTGGCCTTAGATCTGATACCAAGATCTGCGGCCAAAGGGATGTCTTTTGGAGTCAGTGCTGTGGATTTGTTCCAACTTATCTTCATTTCTGATGCCGCTACATAAACCGTGAGGCATTCCCGTAGAGCATTGAGAGATGTAACTGAATTCTCTGATACCGCAGAAAAGTCATCTGCTAAGGCAGAAACTTTAAGTTCATTGTGAGGTGATACTTTCAGTCCTGTGTAATGAGGGTGTGTTCTTATCATGTTGAGGAGTATTTCCATCTGAATTACAAAAAGCGAGGGAGCCAGAGGGCAACCTTGCCTGAGCGACCGTGAAATTGTGAAGGGGTCAGATATGAAGCCATTGACCACTACTCTCCCGTGAGATCCTTGGTAGAGTACATTGACCCACCTTCAAAAGTTCCCGCATACGCCTACTTTACTTAAGACAGCGTGAACAAAGTTCCAATTAACCCGATCATAGACCTTCTCGAAATCGATCAGAATGATTGCAGTGTTTGTGTCCATGGTCTTGATGAGGTCTATGGCTGGTGTTATGGTCATCACATTATCCAGTACTAATCTCCCTGGGACTAATCCAGACTGCTCCGGGGCGACTAATCTCGTCATAAGTGGTGAAAACCGTCTAACCATGGTTTTTGGAAGGATTTTTCCAGCTACATTTAGCAGTGAGATGGGGCGGTAGTTTCTAACATCCGTCTTATCGCCCTTTTTATATAGCAGAGTAATGACTCCTTCAGTGGTGTGTGTGCCCAACCGATGTCCTTCTAAGACAACATTAAATACTCTTAGTAGATCTGGTTCTTATAGAGACCAAAATTTGTCAAAACATTCTACGGGGAAACCGTCTGGACCGGGACACTTGCCTTTGGCCATGCTTTTCATGGCAGCAGTGAGTTCGGCCAGTGTGATTGGTTGATCCAGTCTTTCCTCTTCCAACGTGGATAAGATTCCTTTTGTTGATTCCCACAACATGTGTTCCATTTCCCCTGGGACTATAGGTCCGTTGGGGTCTTTTTCCGATGTTAGTAGTTTCTCGTAGAAGATTTTAACGTATTCACATATCTTTGTAGACTCCTGTGCTTTTTGAAGGGCAGTGTTTACTGGGTGGGACAATTCAATAATCATATTCGACTTAAAGTCTTCCTTCCTTACTGCGAAGGTCTTCGTGTTCATGCGGTCCTTGTGCAGAATGTCATCAATACATCTGAACTTGGCCCATGAGAATGTCATCAATACATCAACTTGTGCCCATGAGAATGTCATCAATACATCTGAACCTAGCCCATG